TTATAAACTTTTGTGTGTTTTTTCTTTATTTCTATACACATATATATATATATATATATATATATATATATATATATTTTAAACTTAAATATGTTTAACAAATTTTATAAAAATAACTAATAACTTTTTGTTTACTACGGGAGTGTGGGGTAAAATCTATTTGGTGTTTATATGTAATATTCCCACATAAGATTTCAGTCTCATGGTATAGATAAAACAAATGTTAGAATATAATAATAACCTAATTGTGAAAATAGCGACGAATTGTAACATTTGTAATTCTGTCCATTAAAAGCGTAAATATTACATACTATTATATCGATGTTAATTGAAATGTAATTTAGTCTCCAAAATATATTTAGATCAAACAATTTCTTTTCAAAAATAATGTTTTAGTTAGATATTTGATATATGTGTTGGTGTACGTAATAATTATTAAAAGAATCTAACAATAAATCTAAAATATTATATAACATATACGCTTGGACGCATTCGAGATTAGAATTAGATAGCTAATGTCGGGTTTCTTAAATAGGAACCGTACGAGGGCAGTCTCTATCCAACGCATTAAGGACCGTTCGAGATCTCTAAACCCAATTTAATTTCCACTCATAAAGCCTCCAGTGTAAGAACTTAAATATATTTTCCTGTTAGAATTTTGTTTCAGTTTTATAAAGTTTTGAAATGAATAATTTTTAAATTATATTAAATTTAAGTACAATATGTAACAGAATCTAAATGTCGGCCATACATGGCGAATTTATTTTCTTAAAAGGACTGAAGACCAAAAAAAAAAAAAAATCGGCGACTTCCACTGAACCGGTAATATATCGTATTTCTTTCTTTTGCACAGAATTCGACGAATTGAACCGATCAGGCGAAAATCCGAACAACGAAGAAGACTGCGAGAGGACGACGATGACGACGGCGGTGACGACGGGGGTCGTCTTCTTATTATTGGCCGTCGTGTCCGTAATTCGCCCGGCGAACTGTCACGGCGAATGGGAGATCGTCGCCGAGCAAAACTTCTCCTCTCAGATCCGGCTTAACCCTCACATTATCCTCCTCGTCACTGTTCCCTGTACTCTCTCTTTGTCTCCTTCTCCATTTCTGCGTTTGTGGATGTATTGATGTGTATATATCTATATTTGTGTATGGATGTGCGTAGTTGTGTGGATAGGTAGGTGTCTGTGAATGGAATGAGCATGATCAGACAATTGAATGTAGTGATTTCTGAATTCGTTCGCATAGACGGTATTTATATAATTTCCAGTTCAGGAAGCGACTGTGCCTTTTGCTGAACTTGCTATGTTGCTATGAGGATGAGAAAGTTCTTGTTGTCCATGTTTCTGATGATCGAATTTCTGACTTTTAGTAACCACTGTTTAGAGATTTGTAGTTTCCCAAATTCTCTGTGGACGTTTTTCTATAAATTCTCGGAACTGGGTTTCTGTACTTGGTCTTTGTTTCTCAATCAACCGTAAACACTTATGTTTGCTAGTGAATGTTTCGATTGTGTGTGCACATTCTTTTGTCCTGTGCTCAGTTAGAAGCTAAACATTCCAGTCTTAGTTTTCATGTTGGTCACTGGAAATTGGCGTTTTCTATATTTGATATTCTGGCTATTTTTTTTCGATTTCTGTTGATTGACAGGGTGTGGTGAATCCAGATCCCTTAAGAATGAAATGACTCAACTGGTTACCAACAGGAGTGAGGAGTTTGGCTCCCTGAAGTTGATGGTTTTGTACAAAAACTCGGAAAAGGTGCTGGCACAAGCCATTGGTGCCGCCAACGGGAAAAGGGTCTTATACTATCACCACAGTGTGCCTTACAATTACCAAGGGAAATTCCGATCCTGGAACATATTGTTCTCTATTCGTCCTTATTTGTTATCATCTCCGATGGAACTACCTCTTAAACATTTGAATTCTCCGAAGAATTTGAAAGATTTCATTGAATCAACTGACAAGGCCTTTATTCTGCTGGAATTTTGCGGATGGACCCCTGTTTTGCTGTCTAAGTTAAAGGACAATGCAACTGAACATAACCCCAAGAGGCATGGTGAGTTTATCTGCAATGGTGACTCTGGATCTATTCAACATAGGATACTATTTATATTGGGTGATTTGTGAACACTTTTGGGTTATTGTTTTCATTTTTTCTTTTATTTTCCTGTTTCTTCTGGGTTGGATTAGGAAAGCTCAGTTCTTTTTAGAGTTCAGATAAGCAGGCTATTACTATGGTGACCTGGTAAAACGTGAAAGAGTTAAAATTTTGTAGTACATTGGGATCTTTCTTTTGTTTTGGCTAAGAACTGATGCTACGAAGCATTGCTGTTAGAACTTGGAAATATATAGAAATTTGCAAAAGAAAGTTGGAAATATTAATTTTTCTTGGGGGTATGATACTTAGTCTTGGATGATGTCTGAACTTAGTTATTCTTAAAATTTCTGGTCTTATTGCATGTCACGAAAGTAGCTATACTAAATGAGAGGACTTTCTTGTTTATGCATTTTTCTCTTCATTTGTTTTCTCCGTCTTCTACCCCTTCAAAACATTATCTAGTTATCTCAAAAGTTGGCATGTTTTTTGGTCCTTCAATACACTGATGAGAGCAACTTCACAGGAAAGTTTTCCAGAGTGGTAGAAATAGATCAAATGCTGATGCTAAGAGGAAAAGATAACCAGAAGGTGGCTGGTAGTTTCTCACTTCATGTCTTGATGGGGTTGAGCTATTCTAGTAGATATATTCCCTCTATAATGCATTGTTTTTCTTTCTGCCCTAGAAACAAGCCATGCCAAATGGAAATATGATGTGTAGCCTCCAGAGCGGGTTTGGTGGGATTCCTTGGGTTGACGAGTTTAGCTTTGTGAATGGATCAGCTGTTTCGCATGAGATTGGTGGTGTAAATCTGGCTTTTGGACAAACATGTACCTTTGAACATTTTGAGCGATTTAGTTCATTCTTCTCGAAACTGATAGATGTTTCAAAGGAGTTTTCTTTGCCCCCAGAAAAGCATAGGTTTGGTCTGGTTACAGAACGATCATTGGTTTCATCTCTTGGTGTTGGAGAATCTGATTCATGGTTAGCAGTCCTTCAGTTAGCAGGATGTCCACATTGTTCAAAGAATCTCAAGGTTGACAAGGACATTGAGAGGTTACTAAAGATGGAAAATCCGATTTTCAGAGAGGTAATGATGTTTGTCCTGTTCTTTACAGATGTTTAACTGATCTTGCTTGTTTGGCTCTACTTATCATTTTCTTCCACCACAATTTCTGTAGCTTCGACGACTGTTTAATTTGTTGTTTGATGGATCTATAGATAGTTGCATAGTTGTATGGGGGAAGCTCTTTATGTGTTTGAAGCAATGTGAAGTTTAGCCATTCAAAAGACATACAATGGAGTTTGTGTGCTGTCTAGAGGTTGCTTCGTTTCGACATAAATATTGCAAAAATGCTTTGGGGTGCCATATTTATGTCGGACTTTAGACGCCATTTGTGAGGTTGGATCAGGTTTTGTGCTGTGTGAAGTTTCTGTTTGTTATCTCACCAGTCAGGTTGGTGTGTAGTGTGATTGGAACTGGATAAGTGATCTGCTCTGTGTGGGTCAACTCTCAGCCATTTTTTCTATAATAAGTCTAGGTCTTTACCCCTCTATTGACAATGTACTTATAATAGGAGAGTTGTTCAGAGCACGAGTATTAAGCGTTTTCTGATTTCAATGTGTTTTGGTCTAAAATATGTATATGATGAGTTGACAGCCCTAACTTGCATGTTAACAGAGAAATTAGTTTGACTCTATTAATCCGGTTTTCTTGCTTTACTTTATACCATGTCTCCCTACATACTACCAAGTGTTAATATGGCTTTTTATCCATTCAGAGTTTACAATGTTGCCTTATTTACATCACTGTATTTTTCCTCATAATATGTAGCTAGATGACGACGGGCAGGAGTTTGAGTCATCTTTACCTGCAAGTAAACCATCAGTGATCCTTTTCGTAGATAGATCATGCGGCTCATTGAAGGAAAGGAGGAGGATTAAGAATGCACTTGGCATTTTCAGAGAAGTAGCTGCACAGCATCAAACGGCTGACATAATTAAAGGGGAGGATGATGTCCACCCTGAGAAATCCGTCAACCAAGTCGATAAAGAACTCAGGACTATGTTTGGACCTTCTAGATTAGAAACTTCCCCGAAGTTTAAGAAGATCACATTAGAGAATAAGGTTTCTGTTATGATTTTGGATGGGGATAAAAATGTAGCTCTAGACAATATAGCTTCAGATCTGGAAGGGAGTTCCTTGCATGAGATTCTGACAAATCTTCTTCATAGGACGAAGGAGACTAAGTTAAGCTCAATCGCTAAGGATGTTGGTTTCCGGCTCTTATCTGATGATGCAAACATAAAAATACTGGACACCTTGCCATCTCAGGCAGAATATCTGTCTGGTCATGACTCATCTTCATCTTCCCTAGAAGGTCTCAGTGGAAGTACTCTCCATCATGATGAAACAAAACTTTCTGACGTGAAACTTGCCTCTACTGATGTTCTAGAGAAGCACGGAAGTGAACAATCAGTGATGATGGAAACTGATAAGCATGAGGTTTCTGCAACAAAAACTGTGAAGATTGAGATCAATACCTCATTGCAGTCAGATTCGAAGGAAGATTCAGTCCAGACTTTTACTGGCTCATTTTTCTTTTCCGATGGAAATTACCCATTACTTAATGCTCTAACTGGTAATTCAAAGCTTCCGTCGGCAGTAATTATTGATCCTCCTTCGCAACAGCACTACGTCTTTCAGGACGAATTTAGCCATGCTTCATTCGCTGACTTTCTTCATGGCTATCTCAATGGAAGTCTACTGCCTTACAAAAAATCTCAGTCTATTATTCAAATCCCTAGGAAAGTAACTCCGCCACCTTTTGTTAACCTGGATTTTCATGAGGTGGATGCTATTCCGCGGGTCACGGTTAATACTTTCTCAGAGCTGGTTGGTGTACTTGATCGACCAACTGAAGAAAATGCTTATTATCCAAGGAGAAATGATGTTTTGGTTCTTTTTAGCAATAGTTGGTGTGGCTTCTGTCAGAGGATGGGACTTGTTGTGCGTGAAGTGTACCGTTCACTAAAGGGATATACCGAATCAATAAAAAGAAGATCTAGGGACAATCAAATGCTTGTTAGTTCAGGTAATGTGCATAAGAACCCTTGTTCTTTTCTTTCTTTGTGTGTTTTTCTCTCATCATTGCTTCTGCAGAGAAATTTCCTTTATAGTTTCAGCATGTACCACGTCTGAAATTCAATTACTAGCAGCCTTTAGAACACAGCTTTCATGTTTTACCCAATGATTTTTTGTGGATATGCAGTTCTCTTTTTTCCCATTTTGCAAACCATGGAAAGAAAAACTGTTCACTGGTTTACATTTTCTTTCTTTGATGCTCTGTAATTTTTAAGAGGTATGTTGATGTTCCAACTAATTGCTGTTTGGCACTGCTTAATAGTTAGAACATTAACTATTTTCAATATAAATTGTTTACTTCTCTCTTTGGCCCTTTATACGCTAATACTTACGCTGTGAATTGAAAAATTCTAATGGCCACAAATTTAATTATTCTGCATTTTCTTCGCTGCGTTTTCCTCGTTTTGGAGCAGAGTCATTGGCAAATGGTGGGAGTATAAGACCTCCACTAATCTACTTCATGGACTGCATGCTGAATGATTGCAGCTTGATCCTAAAATCAATGAATCAGGTACTTGTATTTTAGCTAATCTGATCTTAATCTGGTTTGTTTTGTTCTCGAGGTCAAAGAATTGTTAAAATGGATAGGTTTCACTTTACAATATACTCATGAGTTGTGGGTTGATTGCTAGCGCTCTTGTTTTACTGCATGAAGCAAAGATCTCTCATTTTGCTGCCTTAGTTTGATTCTCCTTTTCGCTTTTAGATCAGTATTCAATCTCTCTATTCTCAGTCTCTTTGTTATGGAAATTTCACATCATCTTCTTTGTGCATTGTCTTTTAATTGCCGAGATCCTCTTTTTTCTTAACACTGCAGAGGGAAGTGTTTCCTGCTCTAGCGTTATTTCCAGCTGGGAGAAAAGAAGCCATTCCTTACGAAGGGGACATATCTGTAGCTGATATAATCGGATTTTTAGCTCGCTATGGAAACAGTTCTCGTGAGTTCCTGAGTAAGAAAGGTATTTTCTATTTGTTTCTTTATTAACCATACTGCATATACATTCTTGGATATACATGCAATACGGTTAATTGGGCTTAGGTCAAGAAACAAAAGGTCAAGTTGGACTTTGATTATGAAATAGTTATGGTTGAAGATTTTTTGCCTAAAGAGACCTGCCTGCTTATTTTTCCTGTATCAATTTTTTTTTTTGGTATAAATTCCTGTATCATCTTCTTCGTTCTTTGACACGATGCATCTGTCACTGGTTTTTTCTTCTTTTGGTCAACTATGATCTTGAGCATCTGATGTCTTTTCCACCTTCTCAGACCAGAAATAGTATAGACACCGAGTTCTTCGGGAGAGGATATCGCTTTATTTGAGGATGCTATTAGACCTTTTCCGTTATCTTGCTCTCCTGTAGTATTTTGATACTAAACAAAATTATGGGCTGCTATATCGAAGAGATGCTGGTTCTTTTCTTTCCACGAATAGCAAAGCTTGTTGTTTTCTTGTATAGTGAGAAATGGTTATAGCTTTTATATAATTCTATCCTCGTTCGAGCTTAGCAAGTTATGAACCGTCTTTTCCCCTGTTGGCAGGAATCCTTCTTACCCCATCTGGAAAACAAACGGGAAGCTCAAGCATGTTTGATCAATCTTTTTCTGCGGCCAACGAGAAAGCCACTGGAAATGACAAACTATTCGAGGTTACTCTGAGGAACAGAAAGCCAAAAAGCAAGTTACAACAAAACGAGGCCAAGCCTCAACCACCAACACATTCACACAAACCCGTTCATCATGTTAAAGTCGGTACCTTTCTCATTGCTTCCGACAAGCTTGTTAATGCCCACCCTTTCGACAACTCGAGGATTCTGATCGTGAAGGCAGACCCAGAAATCGGTTTCCAGGGTCTGATCGTAAACAAGCATCTCAGATGGGATTCATATCCTGAACTCACAGAAACAGTTGTTGATCTCTTGAAAGAGGCTCCTCTCTCATTTGGTGGTCCGGTTGCGGATCCAGGGATACCACTCTCGGCTTTAACCCGAGGAGGCAAGACCAACAATCACCACGCGGAAATCTTGACCGGTGTATGTTTTCTCGACCAATCGGCAGTGGCCCATCTAATCAAAGATTTCGAATCAGGAGGCTTGACACCATCTGACTACTGGTTTTTCTTGGGATACTCTAGCTGGAATTATCACCAGTTGTTCGACGAGATCGAGCAAGGAGTTTGGGATGTTGAAAACGACGAAACGAACTTCGCTTGGCCGTGAATCAGCTTCTCTTGCTCTGGACAGTAGATTGTGTTTCGGTTTTTTGTTTAGAAGAAAAGAAGATGAATCTAACATGGAGAAACAAGAATGTGTTCGTTCTTTGTAGTATGGAAGGTTATGTACCACAACTTGTTATGATACCCTCAATTTTTTTTTCAATCATATTATATATTAGTATCACGATAATCAAATTTTTCTAGACATCATATTTGTTTGTAGTAACCAACGGCTTCAACCGCTGAGATTTGAGGGCATGAACTGTGATAATGGGAGGTATCTTTGGATTTCTGGAGAGCTGTTTGCAAGTCTCTAACGTTAGTTTCTTGAAGTTAAGACATCTACACAACTCTGTCCGATCTTCCAATGACAGATTGGGATGACACTGCAACAGAACAATCATACATCAGTTCCGACACGTTGGGGGAGGGACAAGATCATCATCTATATGTTGCATCAATTTAGTATTTGCCCAAAACAGGGGGAAAAGAAAGAAAGATGTATACTGACCTCTAGGTAGATATCAATGGCTCTGTAAACTCCATCAAAGCAATCTCTTGCTGAATCTGGCAAACTCTCGGCAACTCCAAGAAACATGGAAACCTTCAGATTCTGATCTGGCGATATCTCTCTCAAGTACTTGTCGTTTAATTCCCCCATTCTTGTCATACTTTGTGATGATTCTTGATCAGTATTGTTGACGAACACTTTCAGTAATCTGATCACAAGATCAACATCGTAGGACAAGCCCTTTCCTCCGCTGTTTCCACGTATCAGAAGATCATCTAACGTTGCTTGATCAAGCATTTCTCCGATCAGGGTTTCTAACCCGATCCTCGATTCCATGGTGAGGCTGAATCCGGACAAAACCCGAAGAACCCAGAAGAGTTTTCTGCAAGAAAACGCGGATTTACCGGTCAAAATCACACCTTGAACTGCAATATCCGAAAGATATGCATATTCAAGCTTGTTCTTCATAAGCTCGACGCTGTTGGATTTGACTTGGAGCCTTGTTTTGAGGTATTGAAGGAGAAATCTCGTGAGGACTAAGCTTTTGTTGCTTGTCTTGTAAGAACAAAGTTTCGTAATTAGCTTCCCGATAATCTGCGGTGCGAGAATCGCCATATCGTCAAACCACCATTCCTTGCTTGTCCTACAAGAAACGGAACGGGAAGAAGACTGTTTGACTGATTCGTGCATGTTCCTGGCCGTCTCAGGAGAAGAAGACGAGGATTTTGAGGCAAAGGCCGAATTTTCAGCGATTTTCGCCCACAATACGCAAATCAGCTTCTGAACTAAGCCGTACGAATCTGCGTAAGTGAAAACTTTTTCGCAGCTCTTGAGGCAGACGAGAACTTCGTTCCACGACCAGTAGAACATTCCTTCCAGAAACTTCTCTGTCTGTAGCAACAGATTCAAAGGCGAGAACTTCTCCGTCATCCCGAGAAAAACAGAGCAGCAGTACAGCATCGGCACGTTCTGGACATCGATCGAGATTCTTCCGTTGCTGTAGCAGAATCTTGAAACCAGTTCGAACCCATCCGAGCCTCCTGGAAAATCTTGGATCTCGAGGGTTTCTAGGATGTTCTTGTTCTTGATCTTCTTGCAATGGTTTATCATCTTTCCCAAGCTTCCTGAGTATTTGGAGATCAATTCCTGCACATGCAGACACAAACTCATTCAGAACATGACAGTGAACTCTTGTGGTGGGATAAAGATCAGTTTACCTGATTGAGGAAAAATGTGCATTGGCCATTGAGATTGATTCGAGTATCGCAGAGTTGCGACATTGTTGATTGGATGAATGAAACCTTAGTGGAACTTTCGGCTGTTTTTTTTTGTGACATTATTCTGTCATTGTGTATTTAAAAAAAAAACTGTGAAAAAAGGAGATGCATAATATGCATTATAATTTTTTTAAAATTTTGGAATATTACAAAAAAAAAATAACGAAGAAAATCTAGAATGAATGACAAATAAATATATATGTAAAGGTTTTGCTAAACCTTTTATTTTTTATTTTTATAAACCCTGATATCTATCCGAAATGGTCGGATAACTAATTCGTCAATTAAAATAAATAAAATGTTGAAATGAGCCAAAAAAAAAAAGAAAAAAAGAAACCCAAGTTGGTACAACCAATGGGGACAAAGATGTTTCATGAACTTATTTGTCTATTCGGCCGTTTTTTTGTGTGATTTAAAAAATATTCGGTTCGGCTTCATCTATTATATTTTTTTTATATAAGTTTCTCTATTTTCCCATTATTTTAATTTTACAAGTTTGGTTTTTTTAATTTATTTTTATATGAAATTTCCTTTTTGTTAATAAAAAAAGGGTTGCATTTGGGAGTTTCGTTTTCTTTGCATGTGAAGGTGTGGGCCCATTTGTATTGAGTCCCCAATCTATGTTCATCGTTTTCCAATCAGGTCATACATTTGAAAACGAAATGAAATTATATGACTCATCCCCTCTAATTCTAAATTCCATTATAATATTTATATACAGATAGACACTTTTCAGACAATTTTTTGTCTCATGTATCTATATTTTTTTAAATTTTTATGTAGATCTTTTAATATCATATATTTTTTAATCCGATTAGTCGATCACTTGTAATTTTACTTCTGTACAAGAATACATCATTTACACTTTAACCCAAAAATACCAAAAAAAAAATAATCCTAAAACGCATTTCTGCCACACAAATAAAAAGCATTATTCAAACCATTTTTTTGTCTAAAATTATCTGAAATTCACTTAAATATAATCTAAAATCAAAATTACGTTTTTTTTAATTCAATTTAAAATTTAGTAAAATTGTATTAACAAGAATCTAAACCCGGGGAAAAAAAAAAGGTTACAAACGGGACCAAAGTTGCCCACAACCCAACCCTATAAGACCCCTCTATACGAATGGACTAAGGAATTTGTTCACGTTCTTTGACCGTTTCTTAGATTCATTGACAAAAAAAAAAAAGTCTTTCGGGGCCAGGTCAGTAGGGAACAGGGGGCAACTCTTTGAGGTGGGAGATCGAACCCTACCGTCTCCCTTCCTCTGACCTTTTCGCCTGTCAGCCTATCATAATGGGCTGATTTACCTCCTACGTATTGCAGGCTCGTGTACTTGGGGTTTGACCCGCAGGCGCCTAAACCCAACTACGGTCCGAACGTTAGGCGCGCCTAGTGACCAGATCCGATGGGGGATTGTTAGGTTCAGGTGGTGGCTAGTTCGTCTCCGCCGTTTGTAAGGGTACTGAAAAGTAAGGGTACTGAAAAGCTTAACATTTACTTTTCACGTTCATCTCAGCATTTCGTGTGATTAAAAAAAATTATATTTAACAAAATAATATTTTAACCACGCACAAAAAAAATCTAGTATTTTTTAGTCATAAAAGAAACAATCTATTGTAATAAAATGTGATGTTTTAACCCTTCGGTTTGAATAAACTGTATCAACCCGAATCCAAACAAGACGTAAAACTAAAACATTATTAGGGCAGGGGGACCAAAATTGGACCAAAATTGCCGAAATCCTATATATCTCAAAAGTGATGAATGCGATGGACTAGGAATCGATCACCCTTTTGTTTTTTGTTTATTTAATTTTATAAATAGATTTCATAATGGGAAGAAAACACACGCTATAGCATTGGAAAACATATTTAAATGCAATAATCATAATCTACTCAAAAGTAAAAACAAAAGACTTTTAAAGAATCCGACCACAAGTGAATAATTCCAAAGCATCAAATGGCACAACAAAAGTACTTTGAGAAACCTCAGTACCAAAGGGGATAGAAAGAAAACCACAGCACCAACCACACAGTCATATATGCTTCACTCGGAGAAGCAAAAGGGTGTCCGGAAAACTAACCTAAAGGTTTCGGTACTCGTCTCGGGATTTAGTAACGGTACCTGCTGCTGCGTTCACGGTCATGATCCCGCTCCCTGTCTCGGCTGTCCCCTCTGTCACGATCACGGTCATGGTACTTTCCTCTTTCCC